AATAGACATTCGGTGAATTTTTGTCGGTGAAATGTTATGTCTACGAAACTAGCGTCGGTGAAGTGATACGTATCCAAGAAATGCTAATTGATTTGTACAGAAATCCACAGAAACCCGAACCATACGTGGTTTTGGTTTTTCGACGAGTTCTTATTGTTCTAATAATTCTATTATTGATATTTGTTACTACAATATTGCTTATGAAATTGGTTAATGAACAACCTACTATTAGTAGCACTTATTCGTCAGTAACCACTTTACCTGTGCCAAGTAAGTTTTTTTTTTTATTTTGGTATACATGCATTATATGCATGCATATATGTTGTAAGTAGGAACAGATTTAAGTAGTGGATTTAGAATTTCTTAACAAGTTAAAATTTTCATTGGAATTCATTTTACGCAATTATCTTAAAATCTAAAGAGTTTTCGAATCTGCTTAAATCCCATTCTTACTTTATTCTCACTTACAAGATGTTTGTCATTGAGATTAATAGAAAACATATTCATCAAAAAGAATGTAAATTTGAAAAATATTAGTTGCGACCTAATATAAAATTTTGAATCAATACAGATTTTCACTTTTCTCTTGATATACCATTCAATATTACCTGTCGGAAACGATTAAACGGAACATTATGCAATGAATATATTAAATATTATGTCGACAATTCTACTGATACTCGTCCTTTTAATGGATATTTTTTTAACACTCTAAATACAAGCCAAATGAATTTGTCTAATTTTGATGATAATGGAATAGCCTTTATGAATTTTATCATAAATTTTGACGTAAATCAATCTACAACAAAAAAAACTACCCTTTTTATGCAATTATTTGATCCAGGTAAATTTTTATAAATAACAGTTTTTTGGTTACATTTGATTTTATTTTAATTTTTTTTTTTCAATAGAATATGACTATATTGATACTAATTTTGATCTAAATGACAATTTTGATCAAAATGACAATGACCCATTTAGCATATCACTATTAGATGACAATAGTTACTATTTATCGTATGGTTTTGTATGTATAATGGTAATATTTTAACTTTGTAATTTAGTAACATTGATTAAATTCTCTATACAGACTTATGAGCTACGCTATAGTAGGAATATCCGGAGATCAATACGAAACATAGTATCCAGTTATCTTGGCATTTGGACAGATTATTATGAAACAAAGTATATCCAATCAACAGTTCGTAAGTTTAATCAATCAATAATTTGCAGACATTTCTTAATGCATATTTTATTATTATACGTGATCTGACTAAATATTACTTTTTCTTATTAATAAAAGAACCGCTTCTTTTTAATTACACTCCTGTACCTGGAGAGATTCGCGTGGAAGTGCAACCACAAAATTATCTGATATTAACTGAAAAAGAACAAAGGTAAAATATATTGAATAGTTTATTTGATAATAACTTTAATATGCGTATTTAAATAATTTACAAATAATAATCTACAATAATAATACATACAATAGATACAATAATGTAAGCAATAATCTTTAAAACTTTTTTAAAAAGCCTTTACCTTATAAATTTACTAATAATCATAATAATATGTTAGATTTTCAGTATTCTTGCAAATATTTTGGCCATTTACGGAGGTGCATCAACTTTTTATATAATTTTATTTGGTAAGCTTTTTTAAACATTGTCCATAATTATTATTTATTCTGTGAATATAAGAATGCTGTCATTCTTCTCTATAAACTTATTCCTTAAGCCATATAAAAAGATACGGTTATAAATTTTCATTATAATAACTAAAAAATAATATAAGAAAAATAAGGTGTGATTATAAAGACGCAATGACTGCATTTGATAATCTTTTTCTGTATTCCAAAAAGCTTGATTCTGAATTATATTGTGCCGCGCGCATACGCATGTACCTACATTAGGGTTGGGCATTTTATGTAAGTTTTAATTTTTTGATGTAAGTTACATGTAAGTTATATCTAAATTTCTATATGTATCATAGTGTAAGTTTGCAAAATTATGTAAGTTACATATAAGTTAAAATGTAACAAAATTTGCCCAACCTTAACATACATACATATGTACATACGTATATGTGAACACATATACGCTGTATATACATATGTACAATTATAATTCATGTATACACTCGGAAAATATGTACTATGTTTGCAGCACAGATCTCTTGAACTACGTATCGATTTCAAAATTAGGTATAACGTAACTCAATTAGAATGATTCAAAAACAAATGCTCATTCTGCAAAAAATCGCTCATAACCCAAAAATCAGCCACCATTTGCCTCAACAAAAAAGTTTTCATTAGACAATTGTACTAGATAAACTACCCTTCTCTAATTTCTTACCGTAACCCTAACAATAACAAATTTTAAGAAACCAAATTTTAAGAATTTTGTCTGCACCACAAACTTGGTACACATTTTCCGGGTACTTCACATTTTTGCTGTAATAATGTTTATTCCAATTAAAACTCATATAAATTGCCGGTAATGTATAAATATATCATATTTGTAATTAATGATAAAAAAATTCTATAGGAATTGAAAAAATCAGTCCATGGGGTATTGTACATAGAGGATGCTGTTGCTTTTTCAGAAATATTAAAAAGAAGACTGAAGAGAAAATTCAAAAAGAAGTCTTTGATGATAAAATCGATGAAGTTCAAGATGAAAATAAAGATTTGAAAAAAATTAATTATCTTGAAAAGTGTGTTGTTGACTTTGATTTAGTTTAGGAATAAGATTGATTACAGCCATGGCAATGTAAAAATGCCATACTTTATACATTTACATGCAAGTTTGATTTTTTTTAGATCAAATTTTATCTTTTTAGCGTTTTAGATGCAATTTTCTAGTGATCGAAATATTGTATAAGCATCATGATGTTATTTTTGTTATTTTCATAATATTTTAAATAATAATTAATAGTAGTATTATGATTTACTATTAATTGTAGTAAGGCCATTCAAAGTTGATTAGTTGGTTAATGTCAATATTTTGTGCTCAAATACGAGAGGGGAGGGGAAATTTAAACAAACACATATAATCCCGTGAATATTTGATCAAATCTTATTGGTCAATCTTAATCACATGATAAATGAAGTTTATGCTGTATAGTGATTAGAGATGGGCATTCCGCATTATGTGCATTCCATTATGCAAAACATAATGTCACATAATGTAATGTATACATTTTAAAATTTAAAAGTGCACATAGAAATTACTATATAATTAATATATAATTTTAATGCAACAAAAATTAAAATATATTTTATATCATATGTAATACTAAGTGATATATAGCATCAGTTAGTGATTTCCTACCTGTATAAAGCAGGCTAACTAATATGAGGTTTGAAAATATCATAAATTAGTAAACTTTTGTCTAGAGATAAGAAAGATTGGGTATGAATCTTGGCATAATGTTGCATACTGCATTATGCTGCATTATGCAATGCAGAGCCAAAAAAATATGCATTCGCACATCTCTAATAGTGATTGGCTCGTTTAATTTTTGGAGGGGACAGTTATCCGGGGGATGACGTTAACCAATTAATCAACTTGGAACAGCATAGTGCCATAGTACTAAAGAACAAAATGATTCACAAAAATCTAAAATACCTGAACAATAACGAAGTAAAAAGTTTGTTAACTGGAATGATAAACTTACTAAATAGTTCTTGCTATTGAAATTATTTTAACATAATAAACTAAATATTTTGTATCTCTATTATTTTTTTAATAATATGTAGATTAATTAACAATACTTATTATTAATAAACTTTGATTCTTGACATATTTTAAATATATTACTTAATTGTTTAGATTAATTATAACTAGTACGTATATGGTATTAATAGGCACTGACATTTTGATAATACATATATATTAAAGTGATATTCTATTTGTTTTTTTTTTTATAGTTCTTGGCTTTGCTTAAGATTATATTTTTTATATATTGGCTTTGCTTTGCTTGGCTAGGTTTTAAACTTTACATTGTTTACTATATTTCATTAATCATTAAGTGCTAACTTATATTTTAATCAAGATTTACAATAATGTAAAGACAATTTGAATATAGATACTAAAACTTATTATATGAGAAGCTAGATAATTATTAGAATTCCTAGGTTTAGGCTGCAGATAATTATGTTACTATAACATTGTGTCTGAGTCTCTAGTCTTAGCATCCATTGGATATGACTTTCAAATATAATTTCTTTCCTGTATATAAATCATATAAAGGAACTCAATTAAATTTCAATAAAGTTAGAGGCATAGTCTCACCTTTTAAAATTAAAAAAAAAAAAATTATTAGAATTCCAAAATGAAAGCTACAAAAGAAGCATGAAATAAATTGGTTTAAGTTCAAACATTCTTGATGCTGCAACAGTTATTGGATACATAAATTGTCTTTTTAAAATAAGTAGTTTTTTATATTTCTATTGCTTCTTTTGTTTTTTTGAACAAATAATAATAGTATTTCTATTCTTTAGTGCAGTAGAGCTTCAATATTTGATCTTAATCGTGAATTGATTTTCACAATATCATGTGATATCAGATCATGACTCTAATCATAGTTTGATTGAAAGTAAATTTATTTTTCATACAATGCAAGAACTTTATATAAAAAAATAGGCATCACTACTATAGTAGCAGTACAAAGATATATGTTAGTAAAATTAGCTCCACAATGACAGTAGCAGTGCAAAGATTTTATATGAAAAATTAGGCTCTATAGCTATAATAGTAATGCAAGGACCTTATATTAAAGCAAATTTTAGTTTCGCAGTTATAGTGCAGCAAAAAAAAAAATTAGGCTTCACAGAAGTGGGATAAAGACTATATAAAAACTAGGGACCATAGTGGTTGTAGCAATACATAAACCTTATATTAG